TCCGAGTTTATCTATGCTCTGCTCCCTTGCCATTGGAACATACGCGGACCCGGAAATTGAAGAAGATGCGACTCGCTTGGAGGAAGAACAATCCGTTCATATGGTAGAAGCATTGTACGATGGAATCCCCGCCCTGTATCGAGGGTATGATTGTTTTATGCTCCGTACGCTTATAATTGCTTACTGTGGATTGTAGCTGGACTTTGGTCTCGCATGCCATGACCATTATCCTTTCCGAGTGTCCTCTCAGTCCAACACTCCTAAAAAATCTTCTAGATATCACTCTCAACCACGACCTACCGTATTACTCGGAAATTCTGCTCTGTCACCTACTATCCGTTGCGCTTTCCCCTCCTACTCCAAATCGGTCACCTCCAATTTGTCACCCTGCCCATTCCAACTTTCTTCTCGAATTGTTGAGTCGATGGGAGCAGAACAACAATCCCTCTTACACTTTCTTCCATCTATTCAATGAGGTTATGGCGATGGGTAATTACGACGCTTGGGTATGCAAAGCCACTACTAAACTACTACTCCATGACTGTCGTAAAGACCCTTTGCGGCTCGCATCAGTGTCTTCCAATCTTGTCAGGTTCATATCACAACCCAATCTCCATCTCCCGTCGAGATCGCTCAGTGTCAGTATAATACCTCAAGTGTCTCCCTCCAGTGCTTTGCGACGGTTACTGCGAATGTGGTTGGAACGCGTACTGCATTTTTGCCTATTACCCATCGGGGTTATAGACTACTTTGGTTTCTGCGAGTTTCTTCAGATCTGTATGCAATGCTGGCAGGGGCTCAGTTCATTTGGCAATATACCTGACCAGGATGTCGTGTCTGCAATTATCTGTATAGCGACATTGTTTCTGTCACGGAAAATGGAGAATAGCAGTGACCTCCTGGTTCTGGTACTGTCCCAGGACCTTAACTCTACAAGCACTACGTTTGCCCCTTTGATCTCGCAGACCTTTGCCTCGTTCACCGTGCTTTCAGAATGCTCCCAACGAATAGAAACATACGCATCTTCATTGGTTGAATGTGGTCTTGTCCAATTAGAAGCCTCGCTATGGGCTTCCGCACTCAGAGAAGTAGAAAATTTTGACCCCCTTCTTCAGCGTTACAGCAAAGGTGCATTGTACGAATATCGCGGGCTCCTAATCGATCGTGTCGAAGACGCGGAATACAGATGTTACGGCTCTCGAAACGATGGTCTTACGGAAATAATCAACTCGCCGCAGACCATGCAACAACGTAGTGGTTGTGATTGGGAGGCACCCCAAAGAAAGCGTCGTTTCTCTGACAAGAATCCCACCTTGACGTGTTATACTAGGACGTATACTCTGGATTTCAGCTCACATCTAGACGGAGACCAGCTCAAAAAGCGACCACGACTGATACCCCGGGTATCCTCATTTACATCTCTTCTGTCGAATGCGTTGTCCAATCGAATTGTTCTGCACAAGGAAAATAGACAAACAGACCCAGACGAAGAGGATGACAGTTCTCTGCATGAAACAGACGTGGTCTTTCCTTCATCTGACGACTGTCTAGATCTCCTTGCCTATGGTTCTTCGTCGCCTACTCGTTCTTGATCTTTGAATGTACTGCATTTCGATATATTGTTATCACTGTAGCATATCTTGTATAAATTTGGCAATAGGCCGTTCTCCTTGCCTCCTTCCGGGTCAATTCTGCGGTGAATTTACCTGACCACTCAAGATGACAGATAGATGAGAGGATACTGGCAGTGTATCTTACTAATTACCAGTATTTGCCTGGAAAATATCAATTTGGATTCAGGATGGTGTAAGAAAGAGGATTCTATTCATCGTGGCGCTAAACCGGCTAAACGTAAGTTTGTGTTAGGCGCCCGCCTAAATATCAACTTGCCTTGTTTGGTAATACTCTTTCCTGCTCTCCCGCGTTCCCTCTTCTCCTTGCTCGGCTGCTTTATATATTCGACCAACTGCAAGTATTTTCTAAGCTGTTGTTCTACAAGCTAACAAAATTCACAGTTTCTGTCAGCCCACACTCATTTTCATCCGTTCATGACCGCTCCCACTCAGCAATTGCCTCCGTGGCTCTCTGCTACGACCCTCGTTGTTGGCGGTCAGACAGAAACCAGTTTAGTCTTTGAACCTCTAACATATTTCGGCCCATCCGTTGAGTCTCTTTTCGAATAGTCCAGGCTATGAAGTCTTTGTTATCCCGGCTAATAAACTCACAGATTCCACTTGGGTCATTATTCACGTTTGGCGGCTCGACTTCGCCTGTTTCGACATCAACAACCGCGACACCTACCACCTCAAGTATATCCGCGACACCTTCTTCCTCTTCTTCTCTCACCTCCACTTCTCTTACCTCTTTTACATCGGCATCAACGTCATTATCATTGTCTTCACAGTCTGCATCATCTGCAACACCCTCTGCTACGGGCCCTGTCACTCAAAGCCAAAAGGGTCTAGAGAGAGGTCAACTCATTGCTGTTATCATTGCTAGCATCCTTGGATTTATATTTCTGTTTGTGCTTGCGTTGTTCCTGTATCTGTGGTGGAACGCACGGCGAAACCGTCGTCGTGCCAATGGAAATACTCGGTTCATGACGGTGGCACCGGCGGACGAAGATGAATACTACATTGTACCTCCTGGCGGAGTCTCTCCAGGGGAAGGTTCTCCTCGTGTTAGTGGCGAAGAAGCCGATCCATTCCTTCAGCGTCAATCGGAAATGCAGCAGACAGCGGGTCCTAGCACTACTATGCGACAGCCTACTTCCGTTGATAATAGTGTCTCCTCATCCGGTAAAACTTCGTCAAATTCCGCTTCGTCAGGTTATGGCACGCTGCTCCAAAACCCTAGCCTGGGAGTGTTTGTTCCCCAGTTCGATGAAAGACGTGGAAACATCCTATCCCCGGAAGAACTTCGTCAATTCGATGATGTGCCTCGTCCCCGCTTATCGACTGTAGGCGAACAAGGCGAACTCGTACCACTCACCACTCCTCCTCGACTTGTTGATGCCCCTCGTAGTCAGGCTCACACTCACACTGGCTTGTCTCCTAAGCCATCGCTGATATCACAAGCCAGTGATGCTGGAGAGGTGACATTACTTACAGCGCGACGCGTTCGAGCAGAAGACCTCGGTCCCAGACCCGTTCCTCTTTCTCCAGGTGCTGAATCCAGTCGCAGAAGAGAGAGTGGGGCTTGGAGAGGTTTGGGTCTTGCTGGGTTAGCCGCTTTGGGCCGATCAAGTTGGTTCCAAAATATCACTGGCAGCTCATCGTCCCGGCGAAACTCCCAAGCCATAGCTCCAATTCACACCACAGGCCTGACCGATAATGATGTTGAAGCTGGTCGAGCTCTACTTGGTAGCGGATTAGGGTCACCTCTCGACATGTCTGAAGCCCCAAGTCCCCGTTTCCGTGGTCAGTTGGGACTTGGTGTTGGCTACGGGGGAGACCGGCCTGTTTCTGGTGTCAGTGCGAATAGCCGAACGTCGACAATTTATCATGATGCACACTCGTCTCTACCGGGCACGCCGCAAATATTACCTCCTCCTCGCGCATTGGCCAATTCTAGCTCAGCGGAACTTGGATATTGGCCCCCACTGGGTGCAGAAACGGCTTCCGGTACAATCGCAGCGCAAGGGCGTTCTCAACAAGGTCGAACTGGAACCCAATCTACATCGACTAGTACCGCTAGTCCAACTGCAGCAGACGTCCTAGATATGCCAGCCCCTCGAGGCATATCTCCATTCGTCTCGTCTAAATCTTTACGTGAAGGAACAACGAGCAGCCAAGGTAGCGATGGGAAAGCAGAATTTCCTTATCCTCCCGGTCTTACTAGTTTCTCGACGCCCGGTGTGTGGAATGAAACAAACGGAACCACACCCAGCCCAGGTTCATTTGCTGCTACTGTGCTTCTTCCTTCTTCAGGGGACTCTGGGATCGGTATTGATGTGCTAGAAGAGGAGCCCCCTAGCCCTGGTGATAGTTGGAGATCCCTAGCAGGTGGTCCAAGTGGTCCTCGTCGGACAACTTTTGGTTTGGTATGCTTATTTTGATATTTAGCATTCACACATAAAACTAACTCGTTACCAGCCCCAGTTTGTCAATGCTCCGACATATAACTCTGAGCAGGGATCTCTCCACTCAATGCGCTCACATCTCAGTCCGCGTTCCACTGGATCGGCATCGGCTTCACGACGTGAACAGTCGGGTTCCTCTGGATCGGCATCTTCCCGTCCTTCTGCTCGTTCTACTGGAGCCCGTTCCATTTTTTCTAGTACTGACGCGAGTGGATCGCTAGCTCACTCTGGTAGCATCTCATCCGATGAACGTCGGAAGCACAGGTTCCAACCTTCACTGTCTCCTGCTCTTTCTGCCTTTGGCCATGTCGGTTCAACTTCTGGACATAGCCTTCAACCTTCCTATCCTGGTAGCCCTTTCATAGCAGAAGATGCAGACAAAGATATCAGTGTGACAATACCGACATCCATTCCCGAAGCTCCCACCGTTGGTGATTCTTCTGGAGATAGAAGTCAAACATCACCTCGCAGTCCAAGAATTCCCCTTTCTGCAGTTCCTTGGGCTGGTGGTTTAGATGATGCCTGGTCACCTTCATAACCTTTAATCACGATATAATGCCCCATTGATGAAGACTTTGTCCAATTATGACCTCGATTGCTTGCTTCATTTTTTGATGACCAATCATTGCGATACCTCCTATCTACCTCCTCTACCTCCATCTACTCACTCAAAACTTCATGACTATCACATTGGCTTTGATGACACGACATTTTATTAGTATGTATGTCGACTGTTTGTTTTCGTTTCAGTTACAACAATCCAGTGCAAACTCTTCTGTGTATCCTTAGACCCTCCCAATCTGCCATTTTCTCTGCTTATGTTGTACCGGTCGTTATGATGTTCATGGCAGTCCATGTTTTAATTGTGAACAGTTACTTTCAACGAGAAAGGAAAAACAACTACGGGTAAACCAGCAGGTTCCTTCTAGCCGACTTGAACGACTGACCTCGTCATCAGTTAGCTTCTGCGCTCTACCAACTCAGCTAAGAAGGACTACAATATCCTCCGAATTTTTCGATAAACATTCATATCCATCCTGGCAAGACCAAACCTGAATATGCCAGAATAGGCTTATAGAATATGTAGAGCTCTATGAATTAAACATGTCAAATGAGGCTGATGATACTTTTTAACCCTCTTCCGTTCACTAGCAGTGGGCCAGTGCTATTGTGTGGCGGTTACTCGGGCAGAAGGGAAGGTGGAGCTGTATAGTACATGATTTACAGTAATATAAAGTTTCAGAGTCGAATTGATATGATAATTATTTATTCTGGAAATAATTCCCTTTCGGCCTTTGTCCAATGGATGCAGCCAATCAATCATATGATCATATCCGTGCTCTTCAAATGTGGAGGTTAAAGCCACCATGAAACAGTGTCCAGCGTCGTCTAGCAGCAGTGTCAGAGTGTAGTAGCCTGTGAGTTGGGCTAGGGCGCTAAGGCGGACCGCAGAGTGATTTGGATGCACACCCAGCCAAGGGCCACTTGTGGCCAAACCGCAAGCTAATCCAATGCGACGCGACGCCCAACCCAACACAAGTGGCTACTAACGTGCTACGCCTGATAGGTGATGTGACATGATGTTCTCAAAGGAACGCACATAGAGCTCATATGCCAGGGAACGCCAACGGCCTGCAATGCGGACAACCTCTGGAGCCACGCCCTGACCCAGCAGGTATGACGCACCTCCAATCCTGAATGAGTGACCAAAGGAGTTCCCCCACCCTAGAGAGCCAAGAATGCTGTTGATTCTTGTCAGAGCCACATCCCTTGTAAGGGAGCGCACATCTCCTTTGCCATCCCTCCAAGAAACAAAGGGCTGCTGGGGCTAGCTGGGCAAACCTGAGCGAGGTTATCCAAGGCCACCTTGGCACAGGTATCGCCACCTGTGGAAATGTATACTGACTGGCCCTTGCCTGGATCCGCTGTCTTTGCGTGAGGTAGATCCAACCTGATATATGGCTTGCCCAAGGAATCTGTTAACGTGTGTGCGTTCGACCAAGTTAAATGATTAGCGGGTGAGAACGCGGACCTAGAGCGCACAGTGACCTCACCAAATCACATAAGACCCCAAAAGGCGCAACAGCAGGCAGCCCAGACACAGGCATCAAAGGAGTTTGTAAGGTCCAAGGAAAGATGCAGAGCTCTCATCATCATGATGGTGATTGGCGGCCTAGGGGGCCTAGAGCGACGGGAGCCTTGCAGTTTTGCCAGACCACGCAGAGAAAACCTTATCCACTCTGCATCCGTCTCTGACAGTGGGGGAGGCCAACCCTGGGCTATGTGCCATGCCCGAATCCCAGACAAATATTTCCCCACTGTGTCTGTTGCCACCGTCTCCCAAGGCACATGAGATGGGAAACCTGGGTCAAGCGGGCCGGGGTCAGCGGCTGCCCACAAGGCAAATGAGTGCAACAATGAAGGTGAGGCCGGCAGCCAATCCGATTCTGGGACAGAGAAGATATCATAGAATATGTGCAGCTTCTGAAGAGCGGAGCCGACACCACTTGTGTCGTTCAGTGAGCTCCGCAATGCCAAATCCAGTAGGTGATGCAGTAGTGGCATGTCCAGTACCGGCGAAGGCAAGGTGTGGATGCCCTGCCACTTAAACATCTGCTCCACTGCTGGGCAGTTAGGCCGAAGTGGCGAGGGGCAAGCTGGCTAATAACCTCCACCGCACGTGCTGCGGAGACGTCGACCGCAGGCATGATGCGTGTCGCATGGGCCACGGGGAAAACCACTATACTGGCACCAACTTCAGCTGGAGATGTGACGGCAGATCAAAAACCATGCGAGATGAGACCCCTGGGAATCTCTGGTGAAAACCGCTGATATCCCCCCGGGACAGGGCATCTGAAATGTTTTCCCCTGATGCGACGTATTCTGGGGCAAGTAAAAGCTCGTCGTGGGCTAGAATGGAGTAGATGTGCTTGAGGACGTGGTTGCCTTCTTCGCTCCGAGAGCGCCCCTTCTTCATACTCCCAACAACCCCGGTGTTGTCAGAGTGCAGGCAAAATGTTGACCACTTGGGGTAAGCACGGTGCAGCCCCAGAAAGAGGATGCCTCGCAAGGCCAATTCCACTGCAACAACTTCTGCCCAACCGATACATCAGGAAAAGCCGTTTTTGCCTAGGTGACCCCAGAGTGGGCTAAAGCAACCTAGGTGACCTATGAATCCTATGGCATCCTAGGAATTTGGGCTCATCCCTTGCCAGTCAAGGCTCTTGAGGATTCCCTAGGGTATCCTAGGCAAACCCAGGGCAAGCCTAGGTTTGCCCAGGTTTGCCCAGGTGTTTCCCAGGTGTTCCCCAGGAGCACCTGGGCAAGCCTGGGCAAACCTAGGCCTGCCTAGGGAATCCTCAAGAGCCTTGACTGGCAAGGGACGAGCCCAAATTCCTAGGATGCCATAGGATTCATAGGTCACCTAGTTCGCTTTAGGCCACTCTGGGGTCACCTAGGCAAAAACAGCTTTTCCTGATGTATTGAATTGCAGCTTTGGGCCTACCCGAAAACCTGGGGCCCAGCGCCAAGCCGCCCAGTGGGTTCCTACCACAATTGCAACACCATAGGACAAGCTGGCATCCCCCCACCAACCGAGATCTACCGGCACTGGAGAGACTAAAGGAATTTCGTTGGGAAGGATTTCGAGTAACCACTGGATCCACGAGAGATCCCGGGATAGTGCATGCGGCACCGTCAAGTGAGCACAGTGTGAACAGAAGTCTTGGGCAAAACGGCCTATGAGGAAGTCAATAACATGCAGAGCAGGAAGGTAATACAGGATGCCCACCGGAAGAGCGAATGAATGGTCTGATTAGCGGATAGATACAGGAGATGTGGATAAGCTTTCCCTGCAGGGACAGAGCTGAACGGGCTGTAAATGTCACCACCGGAACCTGTCATGCCCGCACCAGCTCCTTCATGGCCGCCAGTTTCTTCTCAGGCAACAAGACCACCTTCTGAGCCAAATCCCAGATGAAACCAATATACTGCTGAGATGTGGAAAACTTTCGAGTCTTCTCCACACTCCATGGAACGCCAAAGGCTGCAGTCAGGGCCATGAACTCCTCCTCCGTCCAAGACTGTCCTGGAAAACAGATGGCGAAGAAGTCATCGACCACTTCAAAAGGCCACGAATGCCCCACTTTTTGTATATAGCCAGCAGCATGTCGGCCAAGGAACCAAAGACGCCTGCACTGGAAGCTATCCCAAAGCAAACAGCGCCATCGACCCTGACCTTCCCTTCCCACAACAGGCAAAGCGAGTTCTGCTGGAGAGGATGAACTGGTGTAATCTGGTACACCGCTTTTATATTGAATGTTGCAGCCTCGCAACCATTGGGCAGGGATAGGATGAGAGCCGCAGTGTCGGCAAAGGTGCCCCACTCTGTAGGGAACTCAGTTGCATCTATTCCACTGTTCACTGAAGGAATAACAGAATCCCGAGGGTAAGACATATCCTGCACCAGGCGGAAGGAATCTGTGCCTGGCTTGGGAACAAGGCCAAAAGGAGAGGTACGAAAAGGACCAATGATAGACTCCAGCTCTGCTGGCGAGTAAGCTCTGGAGTAGCGGCCAGCTGCCTCCTCCTGAGCAATGTAAGAAGAAATGAACAATGGATCGAGAAGCGAAGAACGATGGTTCTCGAAATAAATAGGTGCGTGAGAGGGGGCCTCTCATGCCAACATCAAAACCTTGAACAACCCCATCCACCACATGCTGCCAGTCCCTCAGTATGCCAAACGAGTCTAGGACCTGGCAGAGCTTCACCGCGTCCAGAGGTGTAACCACCTGACGCGGATCCTCAGCCGGGACGCAAGCTGGATCATTTGAGATGGGGGCAGGCTGCCGCACCATGACCCTCGGCGCTGCACAAGGAGCATTCATGGACGTTGGGACACTCAGAACCTCGGGAACAGGAGGAGGAGCAGGCATAGTTAAAGCAGTAGTTCTGACCTGTGCCACTAATGAGGCTGTTTGAGTACCAAGGGTTGTTGGCGAGACGTGCGCATGCGCGCCCTGTGATTGTCTTCTCAGCGGAGCAGCTGGCTGGGCGACCTGGAGGCTGATTTTCCTCGACCAGTAGATCCTTGAGTGGGCCCCACCATGGAGGGGGACGGCTTCGCTAGTACTGATTCTGCCACCGAAACCCTGGTGCGCACCAGGTCCAGACGAGCCTGGTCATACACACTGATGTCAATTCGGCTGTCCACAGCGACTGCAAGGTGCAAGTCTGCATCGTAGTGCATCGCGAGTCTCCAGTCGACGCTTTGACCAATGTTGACACAGTTCCTGGCATGAGCCTCCCACTTGGCACCAACTGCCGGTCCCTGAATGTCACTGACGGCCTTGACGAGCAGCTCAAGGCACCCCTGCCAGTCGTGTGGAGGATAGCAAATTCCCCTGTCCTGTCTGCTGGAGCCTCACTGGAGGTCAGGGCACCAGTCACAGCGTCAAACGAAAACGCCACCAATGACTGCTTGGACTGGTGACGGTTTGCTGAGAGGAGGAGGGGAAGGGGAACATATTTGTATTTCATGACGAGTTTCCTGACCTTCTCCGGGATGCCTGAACAGAAGGCAAGGTGAGCAAGCGGCTCAAAGTTATGATAGGACTGCAGGAACCAGGATGTTCCACACACGGCGAGGGACCAGGGTGTCCCTTGCCCAACGGGATAGGAGCCAGGCTGCTCCGTCAGAGAGCCTGGACGCTCCCTTCAGCGAATCAGGGAATTCACCATACAGGACTGAAACTGGAGGACTGGACAGGAAATTGAGGAAAGGAAAATGAGGCGAACCTGTATCAAATCGGTCACCAATGTAGCCATCTTCAATAGCCGGCGCAACCACTCTATCACTCTTGGACGCCAAGACTGGCAAGGCAGAAGAAGCACCCCGAATGCCTGCCTCAATGCAAGCCGCAATATGGGCCTCCATATCCTCTCGCGTAGCAAAGGTAAGGCCTTGGGAGACCATAAAAGGATTTGATTGGGCCT